GCGAGCAAGAGTGAAGAAGAGAGATTGAGAGGGAAAGAGAGAGAAGGACAGAAGAGAGTGAGGGGCTAAGAGAGGGCAGAGATTGGCTGAGCGAAGCAATCGTCTAATAGGCGAAATTCTCTTTTACTTAATTCTTCTATTATGTGTGACAGTGCGCATATGAGATATTGCCCAGTACAAATTTATTGAAATGTGATAATGCCTGCAGCGGCCCGATGAACTAGTCAACTTGCATACGGAACATCACTCACTACAGTTTAACGAAATGTGAGAATGCCGCAGCAGCAGATGAACAAGCCAACTTGGGAAAGGGCAACTGCCGCTGTGCCGTTCATGCGTGGTCTGTTATGCTGACGAAGGCACTCATCAGTGATTCTGGAAGAGAAACGGTAGTTCCGCTGATTGACTATTCACCTATCTCCAGTTGCTTTCCTGTCAGACTCACGGTGACTGGGGGGCAAGGTGGCTCAACTCCGTTCTCTGCGTGACTTGACAAATTGAATCCATTTCTGATCTGGGTCCAGTTATTGACTGAGTGGAGCGACAGAAAGGAGTGATCCTTAATTAGGGTGTGTTTCCATTCTTCCTTTGGGTAATGCTGATGGTTGAAATGGCGTCTGTTTGAGATGATTAAAGTTGTCTCCTTCTCTTCAGTCACGTGACCCACCCTTGTGCAGCAGAAGCACGGGTAAAGGAAGAACCGGTAGAGAGTTAATCTGAACAAACGTTTGACTCTTCATAAGAAATATTATTATTCCACCTGAACGAAATAACTAATTAAAGTTTCGCAAAGAGGACGACGTGACAGGTCACGCACCAAAAGCTCCCTGCTGATCGCCGAGGACCTCGGAAGCGGGCGCAGCGAGTGACAGGCGCTGTTGCCCATGGCTTCGGCGAACTGCAGGTGACCCCTCCCTGGGTTTCCTCACACCGGGTCCAGCGTCCCTTACATAAACCGAGTTTAAATCACTTCAAATCACATCATCCTGCCAGCATTGATTACCCTGGGGTGCAGGGGATTGACTGAGCAGGAGGTTGGGAGGGGGGGACCTCTTATCAAACATTTTACAATCAGTATATACGTGATTGACACCGAAATTGGTACGAAATTGGTACAAAAAAGGACAACCGGCTCGACAAGAACATACATAAACCGCGTGCCGGCGTGTGCGATGCTGGAGACGAGAGAAGTATACATCAATTGTGCCCTCCTTCCCCTCCCCCCTTCCCCCCTGTGCGAATTGACAAGAATCTTGGTGAGGGAAATAACCCACTGCAATTGACACCAGTCTCATAAAAATGGTCGGTCTTGAAATGACACCCCATCCCACCCACCTCCCCCACATGCACACTCGAAGTCTCAAACTACCACCACAATCAACCAACGCTGATTCCTGCCACACGCCACGCCAAGCTCTACCAAACCGGCGAGGGTGCAAAACAAAATCACGTCGTTTTGCCTCGCACTGTCAGCCTTTTCCTTTCGGTAGGCCGATCCCTGAGGAGTTGGTTCGCTGTGCCGATTCACTGCACTGGAATTGAAGCACTCAAGTTGCAGTTTGCTGGACCCGGTTTCCAGCAGGTGACGCTCCCCAGAGTCCCCACCAATAGATTAGAGCAGCCGGTGACGGGCCACTAGAGGGGGATGCTCTTATCACCCCCTCTAGTGGACTGAGGCTGGTTGGCAAAAAAAAAAAAAAAAAGCATTGCAGTTTGCAACTCCTTTTTTTTGGTTGGTGCATTGCAATTTGCAACTCTACATACAGCAGTAGTCCAATACAGCAGCCATGGCGTCGGCAGTTAGACACACACACAAAAAAAAGGGGCAAGGAAGGGATGAAGGAAGGGAATAGGACGTCTTCTAAGAGGGGGGGAAGGGAAGCAAAGTACATTAGGGGTAGTACGGGTACAGCATGAGATAGGTCATCAGACCACCAGTACTTGGCCCAGCTATTGATGCCGAGCCTAAACTTGCCCTACGCGCCAAAGAAATACGAACCGGCGTGGGCCTGCTTTTGGCTGGCGGCCGCGAGCCATTTTGATTCGGTACCCAAGCCCCCGAAAAGTGCGGCTCGTTAACGTGGAAGGCCCGCGACCCATGTATGGGCCAACTACTGGTGGTTTAGAGTAACAAGCTAGGCTACCAGCCGGGTGGCACGGGTCACCTTGTTTGCCCGGGCAGCCCGGCCGCGCAAGGACCAAAGAAGGTCCCAGCAAAAAAACAAAAAACAAAAAAAAAAACTGAAAAAAAGATATGTTATGGCAGTTATGCAGAAAAATAAACTGAAGAGCTTTTTTTATTTTTTTTTATTTAACAAAACAACCGGAAACCGGGCCCGGCGTCCCTAATATTTCAGTGCCAGGAATCGGGCCTGGCATCCCTTACAAAAAGTTCCGCGGTCCTGATTTATGGCAAGACATCACCGGTCAAGCCCAAAAACTGGACCGCTACACACCACAAACCCTATGCACAAAACTTACCACCGAAGAAAGCAAATCAACCAATGACTCTCTCTCTCTCTCTCTCTCTCTCTCTCTCTCTCTCTCTCTCTTCCAACCTAAGCACAAACAGTTCAACTAAAGAGATTCGAATTAGCAAAAAAACAAACCAAGCGAAAGACAAAACAAGGCAAAAGAGAGTGTCCAAAATAAAAGGAAACCTATCAGGAGACTATTCACCCTAGCCCAATGTTCTCTCTCTCTCTCTCTCTCTCTCTCTCTCTCTCTCTCTCTCTCTCTCTCTCTCTCTCTCTCTCTCTCTCNCACACACACACACACACACACACACACACACACACACACACACACACACACACACACACACACACACTTCGGACAAAACATTGAGGTCATGAGAGGGCACAACGAATAATCGGTCAGAACAGCAAGGATCCGGAAAATGAAATTGACATCACGCCCAAAGCAGGAGCTTTAGCGACAGCGAAGAATTCCGTTCGCAGCTTGAAGCCCGTTGTCGTCGACGGTGGGCCATACTGGTCACTGCGAAAAATCCGTTGCCTCTCCCTGAAATCGACGTTTTATCGATGCCCTGTCTTCCTCCGTCTCCAGCAAATCATCCCTATAGAGTCCCATCTGCTCCTCCCAAGTTTGCTGCAGGCTGCCCGTGATAAGCAAGAGCGGGATAATCCCACAGCGCCTCTGTATCAAAGACCGAGGGGCGATGCCCCCGATCAGTCTCGTCAGATATGTTGCTGCGCCCAGATTTCGCCAGTCAGTCACCCACACATCAACGCACTGCCCTCCTCAACCCAACTGGATTGCTGACAATTAGTCGACCCAAACCGGTGGTGGCCAGGGACCGGTCAGGGTCCCATCAGCGTGCTCCACTAGCGCCCCAGCGCTATTCCCGGTGACGCCATAGCCTCCCCCCAACGTCAAGTTTTAGCAACATAGGTAAACTGTTATCGTCAACCCTAACGCGAGCCCCCAACGCCCAGACGTGACCAGGAGCGTCACACACAAACGTCCTCAAACAGAAGGAGGAACTTTTGCCAAGGGGTCACATCGAATTTCTTTACGAAATTTAAAATATGATTTTTTTTAATTTTAATTTTTATTTTTGGGGGAGGGCCCGGCTGGGCAAGTGGTCCCAGGTAACTCTGGTTGCCTAGGTAACAAGGCTTTTACTTCGGATTGTTGCAGCCTGGAAAAGGAAGGGACTTAAGCGGCCTGAGAGACTGCTAGGAAGGGGCCCCCGCGCCTAGCTCCCCCTCCGGGACCCTTCTACTGCGTGACTGGGTGCTGCTAGGAAGCTTCCCGGCCAGTAGAAGCATCCCCGGGGAGGCCACGGTATGGGAGGTGGGATTGGTCATAGCAGTCCCCCATTTGATAGACGACCAGGACCGCAAGGGTATGGCTGACCTTTTTTCTTGCTCGAACTCATGTTTGCCGGTGATAAGCAACCCGACTGATGCCCCCCAAGAACAGTTTTTTGTACTGGTTTATATACCCCCCCTGGAGGCACCCCGCCTCGACGCGGCGGAGGGGCAACCCTATGCGCCCTTAATCTGTCGCCAATGAATAGACAGCCCTCCTCCAGACCCCGGTCAACAGCTAGGCTCCTCCTCCCCCAAAGACACCCATGCCTGCTTGATCTATCCTCAGTAGTACACTCCTCCCCCCCCAAAGGCACCCATGCCTGCCCGATCTATCCTCAGTAGTAGACTGTCTCCCACCTGTCAGCGGATTCCAGTCATCAGCTAGGTTCCTCCTGAAGCGATTGGAAGGGACAGACTACAGACTCAGTACGATTGGGGGGCGTGGGAGGGGGGAGCGGGGAGAAGAATGAAAGGGGGGGGGGAGGAGAACCACTGAATTGTTAAAATGTACAGATTCCAAAAAAAAAACACTACAGATGTTTGCTTCAGCTTCAGCAACATGGAGTGAAAAAGAAAGAAACAATTTCCTTGTGTGATCGATTCAATTCAGTTGGCACATTACTTTTCTTCATCTTCTCTTTCAAGCATCTCTTGCACTTCCACAAAAATAGATACAACAGCACATAAATCGAGGAGAAACACGATACGTAGATATTTATGAGATTGAATAATAAATAGGGACTAAACTACTGACGAAAAGCGACCACAATTAACATAAACAGTCGAGAGCGTCAAGCACAGAAACCAAGAAACATCAAATATTTCTGACAAAATCCACGGCTCAGATTCGATACTAGAAGCACTGGTTCCCAGTGCAACCTCCAAAAAAACTATCGTTGCGGGGAGAGAGAGAGAGAGAGAGAGAGAGAGAGAGAGAGAGAGAGAGAGAGAGAGAGAGAGAGAGAGAGNAGAGAGAGAGAGAGAGAGAGAGAGAGAGAGAGAGAGAGAGAGAGAGAGAGAGAGAGAGAGAGAAGGGGAAGAAAGAACAAGGAGAGAGGGATAGGTGTTGGGTTGGGATTGAATTCTTGACTCCTCGGTCGCCTTCCACAGGGCGTCTGCAATTCAACTACCAGCATACCAGCTCACCGTAATTTCAGTGGGGGGAAGCTGAGCCCTTGATTCCCTACCATCTTCACCCAGATAGAACGCCCGGTCATTTGGCCGTATCTAGACTAAATGTGTCAAAAGCACTGCTGTAATGACATGGTGTTTCATTTGATTGAAGACGGTAGTAATCGAAATGGCCCGTCATGTTTGTGTGCAGTGAGCCCGGCAAGCAGGTCGTCCACTCCACCTCCTAGCAAAGGTCCCTCCCTCTGCTTTATCTTCTTGCCTATCAACAGAGTCCTGGCTGTATCCTGATATGCCTGCAATTCCCTCAGCTTCGTACGCATTGCAGACAAGGTCCTGGCACCTACAATCACCCAAGAAAAAGACAAACCAAAAAAGAAAGAAAAAAAACAAGTTATGGGTTGAAGATATCCACATTATGCACTGAAGATCTCCAGACTATCCACTGAAAATATCCACCATTTTTTGAATTGTGATTTTGCTTTCACTGAAAATAACCAGAATTTAAAATTCCTAGAAAAATAAAAGCAGTATTCTTTTGGCGACGAGAACCTTTTCCAGTGTCACTGTTTCGCGCAATGGGCCTCGCCACACCACTCTCACAATGTGAAAAAGACAAAAGTGGCCGGTGCATCTGGCCATGTTCTGGCGGGAAGTTCATTCTCATTTTCCACATTTCGAGAGATGCCCAATATCAATCAACTCCTCTGGGAGCAGAAACACACAGACTAGAGTTGCTTGCAACTCTGCACCATTTCCAAGAACCCACAGTTTTGCAGCACCAGCCAGCGTACCATATTTGCAAATAGTCTGCACAGGACTCTGTTGATAGTTGCAACTCTGCACCATTTCCAAGAACCCACAGTTTTGCAGCAGCCAGCGTACCATATTTGCAAATAGTCTGCACAGGACTCTGTTGATAGGCAAGAAGATAAAGCAGAGGGAGGGACCTTTGCGAGGAGGTGGAGTGGACGACCTGCTTGCCGGGCTCACTGCGCACAAACAGGACGGACCATTTCTATTACTACCGCCTTCAACCAAATGAAACGCCATGTCATTACAGCTGTGCTTTTGGCGACATTTAGTCTAGATAGATACGGCCAAATGACCGGTAGTAAAAAGGGATACGGTCTTGAGCTATCATCATTGAACTGACCGGCCGCAGGTAGTTCAGAATTGATTTTATTGAAATTTATTCTGTGCATCTGCTTGCATCTGGATCCCAAATTGGGTCTGTATTTCAACAGTAGGCCAGCTGGTAATTGTGTGGTTTCAAACTTTGTCACTCTTTGTGGTGATTTTTTTTTTTTTTTTTTTTAAATTCAAACTACACTATATTCTTCTCTCAAATCGTTCATCATCTTTAAATGCTTTCAATTCACCTTCACTACCTAGTACCTACCTACCACTACTCCTAAGGCTTATACAGGGGACCCCTGCGAAGATTGCTTTCTTGTGATTTCAGTTTCGCCCTTCTTGTTTGTTCAGTTGTTCCTGTGTCCTTTTGTTTGACTTTTCAGAAATTGATCCCAATCACGACATCTTCTCCCCCTTGAGAGCCATCTAATTAGCCATGAGTGGCGTGAGGGTGAATGACAACAACGTTTGAGGGTCGCTTCGCGTGAGAAAATTGACAAGGATATGGGTGTTCCTCCCTGAAGAAGAAGAAGGCAGAAGCAGACGGTGGTGACTCATCAAAATGCTGTCAGTTCTTGCATAAAGCTGCCGCCTGGACGATTCCGTCGCCGATTCTATGGGTAGCTGTATGCTAATGGCGACTCAGTTACTTCTTCGTAGCTCTTGGGGCTTCTAAGCTCCACTTTTGGATCTCTTGGGCCACCGCAGAGAGCCACAGGGGGGCCGTATAGTCTTTCTCTGCTCCTGTCATGGGACCAGTCGCAACGTCCTGTAACCCAAGCAAGGTGGGGGGGNGGGGAAGGGGAGGAATAGGGAGAAATGGGGGTATGCTGGTGAAGGGAGGGTAAGGCAGTTCATGGTCTGCGGGTGAAGGGAGGGTTGAGCAGTTCCATCTACCACTGCAAGGTTACTTGGTCGTGCAGCGAGATCGTGAGCTTGACTCCAAACTCTAGGGACTCTGCAGACAGCCACAAGGGGGCTTTATAATCTTCTTTGCACCTGTTCTGTGACCAGTGGCAACGTCCTGTATCCCGACCCAGGCAGGGGAACTAAAGGTGGAAATGGTGTGCTGGGGGGTGAAGGGAAGAGGTAAGGTAGTGCCATCTGCTGCTGCCGCAAATAATAGTTTCTGGGCTAGCGCTCAGCAGTGAGGATCAACAACAGAGCTGATGAGGCCAGATCCATGGGGGCTCGTTAAACGACCTGTCTGCGGCCCATGCCCTGGAGGACTCTCACTCCTCCTTGTAAGGGGGTGATCGATCTTTGGGTGTTGAGTTACGACACTTGGCTAGGATTCGGACTTCTAACATTGGCCGTACATACTCAGCTTGCTATGTTGAGTTGCAACACTTGGCTAGCAGCCGGACTTCTGACATAGGCGGTAGAGTGCACAGCAGTGAGGATCAACAACAGAGCTGAGGCCAGATCCAAGGGGGCTCGTTAAACAACGTAAGGCCAAGGCCAATGCCTTGGAGGACTCTCACTCCTTGTAAGGGGGCGGTCGACCTTTGGCTGTTGAGTAGCCACGGCCGAATGCTACCTTCTTCACCCGAATACAACGTACGGTGATTATAGCGGTATTTGGGGTGTCTTTCCGTCTAAATACAGCCATAATGACCGTACGTTGTATTCGGGTGAAGAAGGTAGCATTCGGCCGTGGACACTCGCCTCGCAGTTCTGCACACACACTGACACATCACTTTTTTTTTGCTATTTTTTTTTTACACACACACAACCTGGTCTGGTTGCTTATCACCGGCAAGCAAAGAAAACCAGGGAGGGGGAGGCTGGCTCATCACTGTTACTTTGCCACAGTTGCAATGTGCCCTGCATCAACTTGAAACTGGACTTCAATTATTATTCTATTTCCCGTCGCGGCAAATCGATTCTGCCGAAATTTCCCTAGATAATACACAACTAAGGCTCAGACCAATTGGGTAGTCGATCGGGATATTTCGGGGAATGCGTGTTTAGCACAACATACTCTCTTTGATCTGTGAGTTGCTTCTTCTCGGCGAGAGGTTCTACCTTACTTTCTCCCTTTGCCTGTTTGTTAGTTTACTTTTGATGGACTGTGATTTGGCCTGTTCATTGTTTTGGGGTAGGATTAGTACATGAGCAGTCGGTAAAGACCGCGAACACAATTTTTTTCTGCAGAAGCACCCTGCATTTTTCAGCCGTTGTTGCCGTAGAAGTCAAAGTGTGGGCATATGCAAAGGGTAACAGTCAGCAGGATGGTTACCCTCTGCTCAAGTGGTTCCTACCAGCACTTCTGCCCCTCCTCTTGACAGGGGGGCTCAAATCGCTCCAGAGAGCGATGGGCTCTGGATCGAAGAATGATATTTCTTTTTCCATGTGCTCATTAATATAGCTGTGCGGTTTGTTGTAGTTCCATCTATTTGTTGCACTTATGGCTTCAAGATGATTCTTTATTGCGGATACCGACTCCGAATGTTTCTGAATTGTGAAGGGGTGTTGGACGAGCATTAGAGGGATGTGAGGGGGGTTGGCAGGATGTCGGAGTGGTGTGTGGAGGGGTGCTGGAGGGGAGTTGAAATGGAGGGGAGCTGGAATGGAGGGGAGTTGGAGTGGAGGGGGTGGTGGAGCGGAGGGGGTGGTGGAGGGTGTTGGAGTGGAGGGGGTGTTGGAGTCCAAGGGGTACTGACCATGGCATCGGAGGGTATTTGTGGAAGCTATACACCTGCCACATCGCCTGGCTTTGTGATATATTTTTTTTTGAAGCGAGATTCCTCATATTTTCGGTGGGCAGCTTCCACTAATTAATTACAAAAGGGGTCCCATTAAACCACCACTACCTTTCACAGGCAAACTCGAAACAAAAATATAAGCTATACCGCACTCTTCAGAGGCCAGGCGCCACCGGACCAAACTAATGGCTGGGGCGCCAGCCAAAACAACAAAAGAAAAGGTTGCCCTGGTGCTTCGGCAAAGCGTGGCGCGCAGTTCTATTCCCCCTTGGCAAAAAGAGGCTCGGACGTAGTGGTAGTTTAGCAAAAATGGGGTCCAATGAGAGAGATTTCACTCATGCCACTTGATCTGGGTGATAAAATAACGTCGGGGGTTACCAACTTACCATCTTATCAAAAAAAAAAAAAAAAAAAAAGGGAGGCACTTGCACCACCAGAATCAACAGCATACTATCTTGTTTTTGAGGAGGGGGGGGGTCAATCAACAGGACACTGTTGTTGACACCATACTTGCAACCGCACGAGCCGCACATTCGTGCGGAGTTCCGTGCGGGGGGTGCCTGTGCGGAATCGTGCAGGTTTTTTATTATTATTATTATTATTTTTTTTTGGGAGGGGGAATGTGGGGGGGCGTATGACAGGAAGCTGGGGATATGGCGAGTAGAGGGGGACATGGAGAGGAGGAGGAGGATGTGGCCGAGGAGAAAGACGAGAATAGCGAGGACGACGACGAGGAGGAGGAGCAGATATGGGGGAGGAGAAGAGATGGACGGAGGGAAAGAGGAAGGGCGGGAGGGGGACGAGTGGGAGGAGGAGGAGACATGGACGGAGAGGGAAGGGCAGGAGGAAGGTAAGGAGACAAGGAGGCATGGAAGATGGCGAAGTACGAGGAGGAGGAGACAAGGAGGATGAGGAAGGGCAGCAGGAGGACGAACACGAGGAGGAGACATGGAGGGTAGGAGGAGGACGAAAAGGAGAAGGGAGGAGGAGACATGGAGGAGGAGGAAGGGAAGGAGGAGCAAGGTGAGGCAGCACTCCTGCAAATTGTTTTTTTCATCCCACTTATAATTTTGGCGGGGGGTCTCGAACGCACCGTTTGGACCCCCGGCCTTCTTCTTTTTTTTTGGAGGGGGGTGACGGGTCGCTCGCCGCACATGTCGTGCGCCGCACGGGATCGGTTGGGCGCGTGCGCCGCATGTCGGCAACTGCCCGGACGAGGTGCGCTTGCATGTATGGTTGACACCAAACCAATCATTACCATCACCGGTTGACCGTCAAAGCAATAATTACCACAGCCTTAGAGTTCAAGCTTTCCCGGTATTAAAGAAGCATAGGACGAATAACTTAGGTCCAATTGGTCGAAAAAAAAAAAAAAAAAAAAAAAAAAAAAAAAAAAAAAAAAAAAAAAAAAAAAAAAAAAAAAAAAAAAACTATGTAATGAAGGGAGGGATGGTCACCAAACATATGTTCTAGTGATGGCCACTTTCTTTGCTGACTCCACTTTCAGGGTATACTCAGACTAGGACCTTTTTCTACTCAGCTCTGGACGTAATTGCAGTCAGATACACCCACCGTCGACCATAATTTTGGTCAGACACATCCAGAAAAGTCCTTGTTTGAGTACGCTCTCATTGACTCTTGTACGCGTCAAAGCTTCTAACTCCGAAGTTGTGGGTAAAGCTCGAGGTTTAAAAGTGCAAAGGGCAAATGAGTTGCAGAAGAATTGGCTAGCTTTGCAGTAGAAGAAAGGAGGAGAAAGAAGAAGAGAAGTATTTAATATAGTCTAAAGACTCTAAAATAAAGGATTAAAATTTTAAAAAAGAAAAAGAAAAAGAAAGGAGGAGAAAGATGTGTGATTAAATCTTGGTATAGGAGAAGCAGTAGGAGGAGGATTCTAGAGGAGGGGAGGTCCAAAGTGAAAGCATCGGTAGATAAACTCACCTTGTTCCCTGAGTTTCGGAACCGTGGATTGCAAGTCTTCCACAAGAGGCCGGAAGCTCTGAATAGACGCTTCACCTTCGCTCAGCGAGCGCTGAAGTGCTGCATTTCTCTTGTATGCCTGCCACATTTCCACAAGCCCAACAACCTCTAGTCAACAGGCGTCTATAGGCTGTATAGCTGCAACGTTTTGTATAGTCACGGTTGTCAATTAGCAATAGCTGCACTGTCTGTACAGCCGCAGGTGTCTATCTGCAATAGCCACAATGTCTCTACAGTAAACAGGTGTCTATACTCTATACTACGAGTCTATAGCCTATAACCACATGTCCCTACAGTCAACACGTGTCCATAAGCTATAGCAGCCATGCTTCTGAGTCGACAGACTTGAGCTGCCATGTTCCTATACTATCTATAGTCAACAGATGCCAGCAGGCCATACCCACCATCTGTCTCAATAGTCACAGGCGTTTATAGGCTGTGGCCACCATGTTTCTCCGGTTGCTACAGCCAACAGGCGTCTATAGGTGGAGTCTAAAGCTATGGCGGCCGTGTTTCTACAATCAACAGCAGTCTATAGGCTATAGACGCCATGTTGCTACAGCCAACAGGTGTCTATAGGCCATAGCTACGATGTGTCTCTAAAGGCACAAGCTTCTATAGGCCATAGCCACCATGCTTGTAAAGTCCACAGGTGTCTAAGGTATAGCTGCTATGTTCCTACAGTCACAGGGGTCAACAGGCTGTGGCTGCCATGTTTCTACAGTCAGCTGGTGTCTATAGGGCATAGCTACAATCTCAGCAGTCACAGGTGTTTCTATGCTATGGCCACCATGTTTGTACACGCAACATGGGTTATAGGGTAGAGCCGTAATGCTCATATAGTCACAGGCTCCTATAGACTATAGCCGCAGTTTCTCTACAGTCATGACATGTCTATACGCAGCAAGTGTCCATGACTCCATAGTCATCATATCTTTGTGGTCATTAGGTGTTTCGAGCCACATGAGGAGTCCTGAAGTGCACTCTCTCTCTCTCTCTCTCTCTCTCTCTCTATCTCTATCTCTCTCTCTCTCTCTCTCTCTCTCTCTCTCTCTCTCTCTCTCTCTCT